CTCTCTCTCTCTCTCTCTCTCTCTCTCTCTCTCTCTCTCTCTCTCTCTCTCAGCATGTGTGAGCTGGTTGTCTGGATGTTCATTCTGTTATCACCGATGATGACAGTTCACTTGGGAAAGGTCACTGTGAGGAGCTGGTTCTGTTTTCATGCACTACTGCTGAGATATTCAGTCTCAGTCAGGGTTCCTGTTTAGAAGCAGCATAAAGGGGGCAGACTGATTTATAAACACAAAGCCCGAAAAAAGTTAAATAAAACAGGAGAATTGATTTTTAGAGTGAGTGCTGAGGACCAGCTCTGCACAACMTGCAAAAAGAAGCAGGCAAAGAAAATGGATGGATGATTTCCAGGATGTATCCATCCTTTCACCTGTTTCACTGCTGGAARTCATCAGCTTTTYGCAGTCATTCGTTAAACATRWACCTAGCAGTTATTACAACAAATRAATAATCTACCAAACACAAATTTCTGAAATTGTGCAAATTTTTTTCTGTGTTTACTGCAGTTCATTTACAGAGAAAAAACAAAAACAACTTATTTGCACATTATTTTAAAGCTGTTCTACCAGTGTTGCATGTCCTCTGATATGTGACTAATGAAGTTGGAGTAACAAGACTTTCCATTGTTTTCAYACGRYTGTGCAAACATCTGAAACATGYAGTAAAACATGTCAAAKGTCACAAGTGACYGACATCTCAGAGTATTTRAGCAGGGAAAACATACACAGMTTTTTTTGCATTAAAAAATACAGCTGAAAATAAACCTTTTTTTAGAGTGAACTGTCCAGGAAGTATAAATCATACTTTTCTGTTTGTCTAGAAAGAACCAAGTCTTCTGGACATCAACAGGGTCGGCTCACACGTGGTGTTTAGGAGCTCTCCACCCTAAAAACAGCAAAGCCAGAGGCAGAGCTGCCAGGAATTATTCCAGCAATGACAGCCACGCACGGTTGCTCCGTTCTGGTGATTTGGTTTCACCTGGGCTCAAAGCCTGCTGGTGCTACTGTAAAGGTCAGCGCCTTGTTAAGACCTGCTGGGACGTCAAGCAACATCATTGTTGTSTGTTGAGAAGAAGCATTAGAAAGCCGAGTAATGACGTTTTTTTTTCCTTATAGAAACTGTGCAATGAAGGTTTAAGACTGAACATAGTGTGTGTGACTACAAATGTCTTAAACAATATTTGTGTTTGTTCTCCAGGAATGTGTTTTAAACTCTGAATCACCAGCCTTTTACTGTCATTTGGTAGGAGAAGCATATTCAAAATGTTTAAATAAATTAGTTTTATTTTTGATTTGCATTAAATGCGTTTACATTGTGTTTGAGTGAAATTTATTTTTCAGCAAACTTTAAATGAATGTGTAGAGATTAACTCC